ACGTCTCCTCGCTACTGTTGTCACTGACCCTACCATTGAGTCCTCTGCTGCGTCTGCTCTAGTCGCTGAGCTTGTTGACTTTGCTGCCGCCTGTCGTCTAGACTACGCCGCTAGCCTTGTTGCTGAGTCTGAGTCTGTCTGTCCTCCGTCCGTCGGGGGTGAGTGTGCTCTTGGCACGGACGTCCTTGAGGACAGACAGGAGGAGTTTGAGTGCTTTGCTGCTTCTTTGCCTCAGCTCGTGTCCATGCTGATTGCCCCTGAGGGAGACCCGGATGCACCAGACATCCCGACCCCACGCTCTTACGCAGAGGCGATGGAGGGTCTCTACTCCTTTCAGTGGCAGACAGCCATGGACGCAGAGATGGCTTCCTGGAAGTCCACAGGCACCTACGTCGACGAGGTTCCCCCACCTGGGGCGAACATCGTCAGTGGCATGTGGATTTTCAGGGTGAAGCGGCCGCCGGGTTCTCCGCCTGTCTTCAAGGCGCGTTACGTTGCACGAGGCTTCAGTCAGCGAGAGGGAGTTGACTTCTTCCAGACCTTCTCCCCGACCCCGAAGATGACCACTCTTCGGGTTCTGCTGCACGTCGCTGCTCAGCGTGACTACGAGCTCCACTCTCTTGACTTCAGCACTGCGTTCCTACAGGGCAGCTTGCACGAGGAGATCTGGCTGCGCCGCCCACCTGGCTTCACTGGGTCGTTCCCTCCTGGTACCCAGTGGAGCCTCCGGCGGCCAGTCTACGGTCTCCGCCAGGCACCCCGTGAGTGGCACGACACACTGAGGACTACGCTTGCGGCTCTTGGGTTTGCTCCTTCTACTGCTGACCCGTCGCTGTTTCTACGCACCGACACCACTCTGCCGCCGTTCTACGTTCTCGTGTACGTCGACGACTTGGTCTTTGCTACTGCTGACACTGAGGCACTCGCCCACGTGAAGTCGGAGCTGCAGAAGAGACACACGTGCACAGACCTGGGTGAGCTGACAAGCTATCTTGGCTTGCGGATCACCCGGGACAGAGCACAGCGCACCATCACCTTGACTCAGTCACACATGGTGCAGCAGGTCCTTCAGCGCTTCCGCTTCACGTACTCCTCGCCTCAGCCCACACCTCTGCCTACCGGTCACTCGCTCTCAGCTCTGCCTTCGGATGAGTCCGTAGAGCCGAGTGGCCCGTATCCAGAGCTTGTGGGCTGCCTCATGTACCTGATGACCTGCACTCGACCTGACCTTGCATACCCTCTTAGCATCCTAGCACGCTATGTCGCTCATGGCCGTCACCGGAAGGAGCACATGGATGCTGCTAAGAGGGTGTTGCGCTACTTGTGCAGTACGTCGGGCATGGGGCTTGTGCTTGGATGACGGCGCGACGTTGTCCTCACTGGACACTCAGACGCTTCTTGGGCTGACGACTAGGCTACGCAGCGGTCGTCTCAGGGTTACACCTTCAGCCTTGGCTCTGGCTCTGTTTCCTGGCGTTCTACACGCTCTTCTTCTGTTCTCAGCTCCAGTTGTGAGGCTGAGATCTACGCCACAGCCATGGCTGCCCAGGAGCTACGCTGGCTCACCTACCTGCTGACCGACCTTGGAGAGCGGCCTCGTTCTCCTCCAGTGCTGTACGTCGACAACAAGGCAGCCATTGCCTTGTGTGAGGAGCACAGACTGGAGCACAGAACGAAGCACATCGCTCTGTGTTACTTCCTTGCTCGAGAGCTGCAGCAGCGTGGTCAGCTTCGTCTCTCGTACGTGGCCACTCGGGCCAACACTGCTGATGTGTTCACCAAGGGGCTTCAGCCTTGTGACCATCAGCGTTTCTGTACTGTTCTAGGTCTTGTGCCTACCCTCCCTCACTTGCTCACTTCTTGACTCTGCTTGTACTGTGATCTCTATGTATATATACCTGCATGCTTACACTTGCTAGGTTGTGATCACTGTACCTCTTGTTATATTATCAAACTGCATGTGAACTGGTCTTGTGACCGCTTGCTTGTGCTCGGAATTTGTGTGGTATCCTTGAGATCCACCCTGAGCTTGTTTTGTCTTGCTTTGCTTTGACTGGTCTTGTGACCCCTTGCTCTCCCCCACTTCGCCTATGGGGGTGTGTCAAACATTATACTTGTTATATTTGTGTAGGCTATAGTGGGTTAGCCTATAGGGGGTTCACAACTCTAGGGTTTCACATTTGTACTCTCACTTCTTTCTAGTCCAACACTTCTTCTTTCTAACAGGGGACTATTACCTAAAGGCCGGAACCGACCGGATTTGGGTTCCCGCTTACAGGCTGCTGCGTGAACTCCTTATCCAAGAGGTCCACGATTCGAATTTCTCCGGACACTTCGGGGTTGATAAAACCCAGAAATTACTGCACCGTCAATATTACTGGCCTGACTCCTCTAACGACGTGCAGCGATATGTGTCCTCGTGCAGGGTGTGCCAAGCTATGAAACCGACACGTCAACGACCAGCTGGACTGCTGCAACCCCTCGAGCCACCCGAACGACCGTGGCAGCAGGTGACAATGGATTTTGTCACGGGGATGCCAGCTGGGCCGTCCGGCAACGACGCGGTGCTCGTCGTCGTCGATCGCTTCACGAAAATGGCGCATTTTGCCCCATGCCGAACGACAATCACAGCCGAAGAAACTGCGCGCCTCTTCATCTCAACGGTCGTGCGACTGCACGGCATTCCTTCGGCGATCATCAGCGACCGAGACCCGAAGTTCACATCAAAATTCTGGAAGGAGACATGGGCGCAGTACGGCACGAAGCTACTGTCAGAATCCCAACCACTAACCACTGGGATAAAAGGGCTTGTTTGTGTAGCGGATAAGTGCGCCCATAACCCCCCAAGCCAACTTGCATGTAACCCTTCCCTAGGATCAATCGGGGATCACCAATGGACCTCTGACACCCCCCCGCACTGGGATGCCCGAAGTGCACACACTGGGATTCGAACCCGAGACCTTCGCTCTGATACCATGTCAGAATCCCAACCACTAACCACTGGGATAAAAGGGCTTGTTTGTGTAGCGGGTAAGTGCGCCCATAACCCCCCAGGCCAACTTGTCTGTAACCCTTCCCTAGGATCAATCGGGGATCACCAGTGGACCTCTGACAGCTACAGTTCTCATCGGCATATCACCCACAGACGGACGGCCAGACCGAGCGGACCAATCAGACCATGGAGCAGCTGATCAGGACAAACTGCCCCGACCCTGCCCGCTGGGAAGAATCCCTTGCCATGTTGGAGTTCGTTTCAACAACGCACCGTCCAGCACGACTAATCACTCCCCGTTTTTCCTGAATTACGGGATGGACCCGACGGTTCCTACAGCGACTTCCCTCGACAACCCGGTCCCGAGATCACAAACTTTTGTGACGGAACTTCAGGAAGTCCGGGAAAAAGCCGCCGACGCAATTCGAAAGGCGAATATCACTTCCCGCAAATACACCGACCTTCTCCGCCGGGAACTCGTCTTGACTACTGGGCAACTAGTGCTACTCGACACGAAGAACCTGCACCTGCCCGGCCCGTCGAAATTACGGCCACGCTTTTGTGGGCCTTTCAAGATTATCAAGATGGTGACACCCATCACCGCGAAGCTACTACTACCAGACGACTGGCGAATTCATGACGCCTTCCACGTCAGCCTGCTTCGCAAATTCATGCCCGCCACGACCGACATCGCGCGGCAACAAGCTGCACCAACCGCACGACCTGTCCCGGAGCCGACTCTCGAACCTTCGAAGATTCTGGCACATCGGGTTCGACTTGACGCAGCGGGTCGCCACGTGGATTTCCTGGTCCGTTGGACCGACCGCACCAGTGAGGACGACACGTGGGTGCATTCTGACTCGCTGACCGCCTCGTCCCTTGTTGGTGATTACTTGGCGCGCAGGCGTGTTTCGGATATTGACCGCCTTTCTTAAGGGGGGGGGTAGTGTAAGGAATTTTCCTTAATTCCTTATCGGGGTTGACTGCTACGCGTACAGCCCGATTTTCGGACTTTGCACGCTCGGCCGATTTCAACGCTGCCGAGGCTCCTCGCGTCGCCTTCGGCATTTCCCATCGCCAAACCTGCACCCCAACCTCGCTCGTCCGAGGTTTCCTCCTAGCTAGGCTAGCTCCTACATTAGTGCGTTCCTTCATTGTATTCTCAGATCATTCAATCACAGTCTCGTTATTCGTTTACCTGCGCACTCTCTTTTACAACTCATAACAGATAATGAGACTTCTTGCATCAAGTCAACACAGTTAGGACTAATCCCAATAGCCTAGACTGCATCAAGAATACTGCTTTCACCGCAGCTGTCAGCTTTCTACGTCTGAGCTTCTAGTAATTGTCAAGCTCCTAAAGATGGGATACCACTTGCGGTACCTGCGATCCACCTATAGACACTATTTGCGAGCTCCTACACAACCTAGCTCCTAAGACTCCCTAAAGTACAAACACTATCTACGAGCTCCTACACAACCTTCTGCCATCCGCCAAATTCTTTGTACAGGTACAGCGTTCTGTGTCGCTTGGCGCGCGCGATATCGTTCCGTGAAGGCCGCGTCAGCCACGCGCCTTTGCGCGCATCCTTGCGGAAGGCGCAAGCAGGCTCGACCTTGGGATCTAAGGAGCGGCAGGCGTCCTTGAGGTCGAAGCGGCGGAACTTGACTGTCACGTTGCCCTTGGAGTAGTCGCTCTTGAACGGCAGCCAAAAGGACGCGTCCCATATCGACCCCTGCTTGCCAGCAAGGCGGCGGTGGGGTGGGGGGAGAGAGAGAGGAGCGGAGACGGGGGCTTGTAGAATGTCATCGTTAAGCGGGACACTGGGAATGGTGATGATGATTAATCAGCTAGACATATAGGAATTACTCGAATGGGAGAAACTAGAGAAACTAGGGTCAACGAGAGAAACTAGGTGAGGCGGAAACGCGATGAGTTGAGGTGGCAGAAACGCGTTGTTGGGAAGCAAGAAGATTATCCGGGGAAAGGCGGAAAGGGGAAGCATACCATGACTTTCATGGGAAGCGAGGGGAATGGCTTGCCCGGTTCGCGCCAGGTGATGCGGATGGGCTTGCCGTCGATCTTCCACACGAGCCAGTTGGGCGCGTACACCATGGTGTACGTGTGGAAGTCAGCCGACGGGTCGAACGGGAATTTGTACTGCGGGGGAGAGGGGAAAGGGGTTAATTGAAGACGAAGGGTTTTGTGAGGCGCCGAAACGAGGCAGTTGGGCGCGTACACCATGGTGTACGTGTGGAGGTCCGCCGACGGGTCGAACGGGAACTTGTACTGCGGGGGAGAGGGAAAATGAAAGGACGAGCCGCAAGACGCCGAGGAGACCCCCATGCGCCGGTGAATCCCTGATACGAACTTAATACAGGCGTGAATGTGAAAGTTTGGTTTGAACTATTACTGCGGGAGAGGGGAAAGGGATACGGATGGGTGCTGAGGCGGCATGGCATGTTGCAACAGGTTGAAGATCACAGGAAAACGCGGAGGATGCAAACTCCAGAAGCACCATATCTTCGTATCGTATCGCGTGTGAGAGCGCATTCGTCGAATTACACAACCATATTAAACCCCGCATTACTCAATAACTATCCATAAAGCTTAATACCTCCTCGGCGTTCCGAATTGGCTCATTCCACCAACCAATCCACAATCTCGTTCGCTCGCGCGTGCACTTCTTTTCACATTGCCACGTAATCAACGTGCGTACCTCCCGTGGTTACGCTTTGGTGCGGATCTTGCTCTCGCCGGTTCCCTCCGGCCTTTCCAAACCCCTACCTGCTCGACGGAGCTGTCCCGTGCAAAGTCGCTGTTACCGCGGATCCCAATGTTGGAGCAGCCGATGAGCCAACTGCCTTGCGTACCTGTTCAACGTTGGTGTACCCGCCCGCGATGGCGTTGGTGTGGATCTTGATCTGTTTAGGGTCGCTCCACCCGAGGAACTCGAAGTCCATCTCGTCGTGGATGTCGCGGTAGTCCAGCCCCTCGCCCGAGATCAGGTAGAGGCACGGGATGAGCCCGCCCGAGTACCCCGGCGGCAGCTTCATCTTCACCTCGAAAATGCCGTACTGGTAGTAGCTCTTCGACTCGAATGCTGAGACACACGCAATGTCAACAGAAAGAAACAGAACAAACCAGAAAAGTGATAGGTCGTGTGTGTTGCAGTTTTATGTCAGGCGTTTCTAGGCAAGAAAGAAAACTCCCCAGTCTTGAGACACTCTGTGAACTGGCATGACGTGAGACGAACCTCCCATTTTGTTCTGGGCGGCAGTGAGCGAGACGGTGCCGTCCGGGCCGACAGTGCAGTACGTGCCGTTGCAGAAGGCCGGCAGGCGGAAGTGCGTGCTGAACGACGCGTCGTATCCTGGACCCGGTGCCGCGAGGCAGGATGGGGCACCTACGAGGACAAGCGCTAGGAGCAACATAATTGTACGACCTGACATGGTGCGTGTGTGGCGAAGAGCACTACAAAAAGGAGCTACAACTAAACAGTAGAGAGCACGTATTTCGGGAATGGCTTGGGAATGGAGAGCTTGGGCCTTATTTCAATGGACGAGGCCAGTGCCCTGATTGCGATGCAATGCGGCCATGAGTGCAAGGTAGGTGGCATCGCCGACTGAAGGTCGCATTTCCCAGGTTGGGTCGAAGCGCGACCAAGGGGTGTGCGAGAATGCGCCAATGACAACAAGCCCTTGACGGAGTGCCGCCATCCAGGGGTCGAGAGTGAAAACCCAGGGCTGGGTTTGCCTTGCTGGGCTGGCGAGCTCCATTACACTTGCAATTTTAGACCTCCAACAGCCTCGCGTCGCGCCAATTTGTAATTTGATGTGGTGGTGGCGCAAGCTAGCCATCGTTACAAGTCGAAACGCCGAGAATGGCAATGACTGTAAAGGGCGAGATAATCTTTCATTAGAGTCGCGAGCCGCTAGGATGATTACTGTCGAGAGAACACTAGAGTCAAGACGTTTCTTCCGAATGTGTATGCAAAAGAGGTTTGAAAGTTACCCAATTTAGCAAAGAGGACTTCATCCATGAAGAAATGATTTGAGTGCTTCAAGTTCACGCAGAGGCATGAAATGCTCGTTTGGGGCTGCATCGGATGCGTTTAATTGTCGGAAGATACTAGTGCGAGATTCAAGGGATTGGTGAATTTATGGTAATAATTTGTCAAATGTTGTAGCCTGTAGTGAGGTTTGTCTTAGGGGGTACAGATGTTAGGGTTTGTTATATGTACCCCAACCCACATCAATGAACCAACACTTTCGTTCTTGACATGGTATCACCTAGGTTAGGATCCTGTGGGATCCCGCACCTCTCGTCCTCGTTCGTTCCGCCCGAGCATGTCTCGCTCTCTCGTACTAGTCGTACCCGTCTTGCCCGAGCCTAGTGCCGGCCCGATCCAGTCTCGCTCGTTCGTTAGCGCCGGCCCGATCCAGTCTCGCTCGTTCGTTAGCGCCGGCCCGATCCAGTCTCGCTCGTTCGTTAGCGCTCGCTCCGCCGACCCGCTTTCCGCGTAGCGTAGCGCCTTCCCCCCCCTGCCCGTCGCGTCACGCTCTCCCCGGCTTCTCGTCCCGTCACGCCCTCCCCCGCTGCTTGTCGCGTTGCGTCCTCCCCCCGCTGCCCTAAACGCCCGCGTTTCGTCGCCGCGGCGCCCGCGTTACGTCACCGCGGCGCCCCCCGTTTCGTCGCCGCGGGGCCCCGCATTTCGTCGCCGCGGCGCCCCGCGTTTCGTCGCCGCGGCGTCCCGCGTTTCGTCTCCGCGGCGCCCCGCTTTTCGTCGTCGCGGCGCCCTCGTTTCGTCGCCGCGCCTGTCCGTACAGCCCGTCGCCGCGCCTACTAGTTAGGCCCGCCGCGGGCCCTCCCTTACAGCAGCCGCGGGCCCTCCCTTACAGCCGCCGCGCCTGCTAGTTAGGCCCGCCGCGGGCCCTCCCTTTCAGCCGCCGCGGGCCCTCCCTTACAGCCGCCGCGCCTACTGTTAAGGCCCGCCACGGGCCGCCCTCCCTTACAGCCGCCGTAGGCCCTCCCTTACAGCCGCCGCGCCTGCCCGTTCAGCCAGCCGCCGCGCCTCCTCGTTAGGTCCGCTACGGGCCAGCTCGTTAGGCCCTTCCTTCGCACCGCTGCGCCTACTCGTTCAGTCCGCCGCGGGACCGCCCCTAGCCCCGTTGCGCCTGCGTTTTGCGCCCGTCACGGACTTGCCCTAGCCGCCTACCGTCCCTACCGGTGCCACCCACCGCTCGACTTGTCGCTTCTACTATGGCGACTCCTAGGGTTCTTCGCTTCGACGCTGACGGTAGACCGCTCGAGTTTCCGGTCTGGCTCCTACGCGCGCGTCGCCTCTTAGAGAGTCAGGTTCAGGCGGGCGAGTCCCTTTGGGCGCACGCTACTGGTGACCTTCCAGCGCCCGACGACCCTACGCCTTTAGGCACTGCCCCTGACGACGCAGCCAGGGACCGCTTCACCCGCCAGCGTGCTGACCTGACGACGTGAAAGTCGCGTGACGCTGCGGCCTGCATCGCTCTTAGCAGCCTCTTCCCTGAGTCTGAGGAGGCCCACTTCACTCAGGTTCGCACTGCTAGTGAGTTCCTGACTACGATAAAGGCCCGCTACGCTACTCCCACCACTGACTCTCTTGGCCGACTCTTCCTACCGTTCCTGTTCCCTGACCTCGCCTCGTTTGAGCGCTCTGCTGACTTGATTGCTCACCTCCGCTCGCTTGATTCTAGCTACCGCGCTGCTTGCACTGAGGCACAGCTTGCACTGCTCCCTCCCCCCATGGCGATTACTATCTATTTCATCGCCACTATCCTCCCTGACGGCCTTGCCTCAGTCCGTGACACGCTTCTTCTCAAGCACCCTAGTGAGCTCACTATCGAGGTCCTTGAGTCTGCGCTCAAGGACGTCGAGAGCAACCTCCGCTCCGTAGCCTCCGCCTCTGGTGCTGTGCCCCCTCCACTGTTCCATCGGTGCACTGTCCCTCAGCTGCCCACCTTTACAACCTCTCTCGCCACTGCTGCTACTGACGTGACCGCAGCGGCTGTTACGACTTCTTCGCGGTCTCGAGGTAGAGGTGGCAAGAGGGGCGGTCAGGGTACAGGTGGCGGCGGCGGTGGAGGCGTTGGCGGCGGAGGTGGTGGGGGTGGCGTGTCGACTGGTGGCGGCGGGAGTGCAGGACCAGGAGAGGCGTCGCGTGCAGCGGCCGGTGACTCCGCTGTCAGAATCCCAATCACTAGACCATTGGGATAAAAGGGCTTGTTAAGTAGCGCGTCAGTGCGCCCATAGCCCCCCAGGACAACGAGCCTGTAACCCTTCCCTAGGATCAATCGGGGATCACCAGTGGACCTCTAACACCCCCCCGCACTGGGATGCCCGAAGTGCACACACTAGGATTCGAGCCCGAGACCTTCGCTCTGATACCATATCAGAATTTCAATCACTAGACCATTGGGATAAAAGGGCTTGTTAAGTAGCGCGTCAGTGCGCCTATAGCCCCCCAGGACAACGAGTCGGTAACCCTTCCCTAGGATCAATCGGGGATCACCAGTGGACCTCTGACAGCTGCAAGACACTCAAAGTCCTCCTGCCTGTCCTCAAGGACGTCCGTGCCAAGAGCACACTCACCCCCGACGGACGGAGGACAGACAGACTCAGACTCAGCAACAAGACTAGCAGCGAAGTCGAGACGAGAGGCAGCAGCAAAGTCAACAAGCTCAGAGACTAAGGCAGACGCAGCAGCAGACTCAAACGACGGGTCAGTGACAACAATGGCTAGCAGACGTGTGACAGTAGGGTGAGCAGCACGAATTAGGTCAAACTCAGGGTCCTGAACGTCAGGCAGAGAAGACGCAGGAGGAGACGGTAGGGGAACACGCTGTGGAACAGAGGAAGGACGAAGTGCCATAGCGTGCGTGCCAGGGACAGGAGGCGGACGCTCACGAGGAACACGACTACCAGTGCGACGCGCGCGAACAGGCGAGGCAGGGCGCGACGCGCGGGCTGCAGCAGAGCGGGACGCGCGAGGCAGCAGCGCGCGACTCGTGGGCTGCCGTAGGGCGCGACGCGCGGGGCAGCAGCGCGCGACGCGCGGGCTGCCGTAGGGCGCGACGCGCAGGGCTGCAGCGCGGGTGTAGGGCAGGGCGCAGGCGCAGGGCAGGGCGCCGGCGCAGGGCAGGGCGCCGGCGCAGGGCAGGGCGCCGGCGCAGGGCAGGGCGCTGGCGCAGGGCAGGGCGCCGGCACAGGGCAGGGCGCCGGCGCAGGGCAGGGCGCTGGCGCCGGGCAGGGCGCTGGCGCAGGGCAGGGCGCTGGCGCAGGGCAGGGCGCCGGCGCAGGGCAGGGCGCTGGCGCAGGGTGACGCGAGGCAGGGCAGGGCAGGGCGTGCGCGAGGCAGCACGACGCGGGGCAAGGCAGGGCGTGCGCGGGGCAGCGCGGCGCAGGGTAGTGGGGTAATGCGGTAACCGCAGTCGGAAGCTAAGTATGGTGGGTCCATAAAAAAAAAAAAAAAAAAACGGTCCTACGGACATACTGCTCTGAAACCATGTCAAGATATCAAGCAGGAATGAGTGCATTGAATGAATTGTGGGTACAAGTACTAACCCAAAATATTGGGTTGTATCCCACATGTGCTACCCCACTATAGCCTACACACAACTAGCACATATATGGTTTGACAGCGTCGGCTCTGCTGCAACTCGCGCGTAACGCCCTGCTGCCCCGCGCGTCGCACCCTGCTGCAGCCCGCGCGTCGCGCCCTGCTGCCCCACGCGTCGCGCCCTGCTGCAGCCCGCGCGTCGTGCCCTGCTGCCCTGCACAGCGCGCGCCCTGCTGCCCGCGCCGCTTAAGCCGAGCCGCGCTGCCCAGCCCGAGCCGCCCTGCCCAACCCGATCCGCCCTGCTGCTCGTGCTACTGCTGCTGCTGGTGGAGGTGCTGCTAGGAGTGCTAGAGGTGCTGCAGCCTAGCCTCACCAAGTTGCTCTGCTGCTCTTACTTCTGCTGCTGCTGCTGCTTGTGCTACTGCCTTCCCTCCGTACTGCCCTTCTGGTCGCACGCCTCCTTGCTTGCCCGCTATGACTTCACTTCGTAGTAGCGGTGGGAGTGGTGACGGCGGTGGTGGCAGCAGTGGGAGTGGTGGCGGCCGTAGTAGCAGTCGTTGTGGAGCTGTTCGGTGGGGATTTTCTGGCGGTAGCCAGATGCAGCTGCAGCTGCGTCCACGCGAGACCCTTACGCCCCAGCAGCTTCGTGAGTGGTACGCCACTAGGTGTGGTGGCGGCGGCCGTAGTAGCAGTCGCGGTGGAGCTGTTCAGTGCGGAGTTTTTGGCGGTGGCCAGATGCAGCTTCAGCGGCGTCCGCGCGAGGCCCTTACGCCCCAGCAGCTTCGTGACTGGTACGTTCAGAGTGGGGGGACTTGGAGTACTGTCCGCTGCCCGTACGTCATTCGCACAGGTGATCGG